TCACATAGAAAGCGAAGAGCTGTCATGGAGGTTTTTGTTTCCTGGAGGAGAAATCACATAAAATATTCACTGGTGATTAACGAATGCGTATATAAAGGCTGAACCTGACGTAATTAAAGTAATGAGCTAAATAGAAAAGATGGGACTGGTTTCAGTGACAGGCAAATTGCCGATGTGAATGTGAATAAGACCAAATAAGATTGATACTCTCGTTAAAAGTGACAATCAGAATTGAAGAACTTGGTAAAGGTTGAAGCACATCAGTATCTTGTACAATTCTAGCTCCCATAATACTTAGAGACTCTATAAAGAAGAAAAAGTTGTTTCTCAAGAGCTCCTGCAGGTGTACAACACAGCAAGTCCACAAACAGGACGACCACGGGAGATGAGACCGGAGTTCTACATTACAAGTCTAAAGCCAAAAGAAACTCAGTTTAAGACTCTGTTTTAGGACCAGAAGCACCACTTTCGATTCTAACTCCAGAATGATCTCATTCTAAAAACTCAAAGCAAGTTTTAATTGACCTAAGCTACATTTTCAGTTTTGGCAACATCAAAACTTAAGGCTTCAAAGCAACTTAAATGAAAAGCAACCACAATCCATACATCGGAAAATATTCCTTCATTCACGCTATTCTCCTGATATGGCATCTTAAGGCTTTCATCTCTTTGGGTTCGTGACAAGACAACCAGATAACAGCACATCGATCACTATTAAAACTATTGCAATTAAAGAAACATCACTACTTTTTGAACGAGCCTAAAATACAGTTATTCTGTTCTTTAAGGAGACGTTTTTAATAGTTTTATCTTGTTCTGATAATCATTTCTTTTCAGACAAATGATTACAAACATTAAACTCATTCAGTAAATGAAAAGACACGCTATAATCGTTGCTTTAAAGGCAGAGAAATATTATTTCAAGATGTCTCGCTTCCTGAAAGTTGCGCGTTTGTTGTCAAAGTTCGCATAGACCAGAAAGCCGCTGACGGGGATTCTACGACATTAACCAAAGGTAAAAATCCTACTGATGGTCCTTATACAATCATACCATTCACATTTGTATGAAAGGTGCAGTAAATTGTCAATAATAATCCTAGAAATCAATTAACACCATTGATAAAGAAGTCATTCTTTTAAGGAAATCTATCGAAAGACATATTCATGATCACTTTCGATAGTCATATGTGATGTGGAGTGACCAATTCATATCCACAAAGACAAAAGCTAACTGTCTGATCCACGCAAAGTGCTTGTTGAGCAAGTTGGATCATCCAGAGTCTGGAATGCTTTGCTTTTTCTCTGATGAGTAAATCATTGAGTGGGTTAAAAAGGCGAACCGTAGGATTAGCAGATGGTTATGTAGAGACCCTAAGGGAATTGCAACGTTCATGCACACAAAAATTAAAGAAACTGGTATGGTTCTGAGAGTCGTAAGCAACGAGGCAGATGTTGATCCTCCTCACTTCTTTCATCAGGGCTTAAAAATCAATGCTGCTGACTATTAGGTGTTGGAGAGGGTTGTAAAGCCTTGGATAGAGATCTTGAGTAAAGGAATATCAACCATACATTATACAGTCTTATAAGGCCGAAAAGACTTAATGTACGAGTTACAATCTCCACAAATATGTCGCTTCAAACATGGCTTATTACCTCTTCAGGCCGGAACCTATTTGACTACAACATAGTGATTTTCCAAGCGTAATCTAGAACGTCTAATGAAGTAAGGGGCACCCAGTGAGGATCGAACTCACTACACATTCGTAATTGTTCTAGCGAGACAAGCTGGCTAACCATTACGCCACCTCGAGGTGCCCTATTATCTACAACATATGGGGCGTAGTTGACAGGTAAATCAATCAACGCCTCCATTAAGTTATACAATCTCTGAAGTTCGCCATAATTAAAACAATGTTCAAAATAGATCAAGATAATTTGATTCGGCCATGTAAACGTCTGAGATGTTGTATTGAAGCAGTTATCAATGATAATGGTGAATTCATTGGATGCATTAAGTTTATTTCATGTTTATTCATGTCAGTTCTTTTCTCAGATAAAGCTTTTATTTCATAACTTGTATACGTCGTACTAAATCCAAACAAATGCCCCTCAAACAACTGATCAACCCTGTACAAATGCAAACAGAAAATACAGAGAAACTGCATGAGATAACCTCCAAATTTCGGCTGAGGTAGGTTTTGCTTATTTTGCCATCGTTTGAAATATGTCCATTCAAAACGCAATGGGTCTACACATACCCGTCTTCTATGAATTGCCACGATTTCTAGGGAAAGGTAATAAGCTGGATTATTGTTGCCTTTTATTTGAATTTGTAACCAGGTTGGTCTTTCACCTACATCGATGTCCACTCAAAGCTAAAAAAAAAACCCAGCCTACACTTCCGTTTAGCATATAATTCACTAGGTGAAATTAAATGAATGTATGACTTTGTGAAGACCGTGAGTTTGAATGCAGCAGACTAGACGGGAATTTGATCTCGACATTTCCATTCCATTTTCTGTTGATAACCATTACGCCAGCCACACATCCCCTGAAACAGAATACCTGCTTATATTTTGATAAACGAGGTCTGATCAAAAGGTATCGGGGCAGGTGCTATAAAATTAAAAATCGCAACACATCATATCGGCAGTAGTAGTAATCACCTTCGGAAGCCGCACATTTTATGCCATGCCTTTTTTATTGAGGAAAAAAATTCTGGAACTCCTTTTTTTGCGGTGGGAATAACGAGCAGCTGCCTTGTTGCATTCACTTTGATATTCTTGACGTCAGAAAAATTCTTCAAGTGGTATTTGATTTTTGAAGAGGAAAAACTGGCAAGGTTGGGGAATATGGTGGCTGTCGGCATTGAACAATGATGTTCTTGATCAAAACCTGCTGCAAAAGCCATGATCAATTAAGGTAAATCTGCTGTGTGGGCAGACGACAACACTCTACACACTTTCCTTCCAAGCACTAATATAAACAAGGGAAATGCACGAGAACGTTATAAGTTAGTGAGTGTACGCAACAGTGTAAGGTCAGTTTGTGCCAAGTGGCTAGATTCTGCATATTTTGGTTTCGTTATCATAGCAGCAGACCTTAATGTTATACTTTTTCGTTAAACCTCGTTTTTCAAGGCAATATCCCCCACCAATTTAGTAAACAACGACGTTTTGCTCATATTTCGCTGTTCTTTCATGTTGTTGTTGCTGTTTTCGGTTTATCTCTGGTACCACTATGCTGTAGGTCAGCTACATTGTAGTAAATAAGAGGGGGAGATTACTGGACATGAAAATCCTTTTTTCATTATTCGTTGTTCTTTGATGTCGGTGTTGTTGTTTTCGGTTTATCTCTGGTACCACTATTCTGTAGGTCGGCTATATTGTAATAAATAATCTATGTTATCATAGATTTTAATTATACTTTCTTCATTATATTAAACAAAAGGTTCGAAATGAAACTGTCATGAATACGAGAAATTGCGATAACAGTGATCAGGAAAAACCTATTGTCCTGCCAAAGAAGAATAACTCTTTTAAAAGAAATATTTTTTAATTTTCAACCGAGAGTAACACTAGCTTTTCGATCAATGTATTTCGAAAATTGTATGTATGGAAATGACTAATCTTACAATTACCATTATTTATTCAGTAAACAAAATCCAGAGAGTGTATGCAATGTGATAGTTCCTGACCTGGCATCTCGTCTACAGTCAATTTCTCACAGGCCTGATGTGGCCTCCCTCTGTCTTTTCTAAAAATATTTTCAGGGCAATTGCATGAATTTAAGCGTACTACTAGGGTGGCATCTCGGTCCACCCTTTCACTGTCGAAACAGTTAAATGTAACCGCCTTTTCTACTCCAACAGCTTCTTCTCTCGCACTACTCGACAGTGGAACTCCTTTCGTCCTACTTGCCTCCCTGATAGCTATAATCTTCAAATATTCAAATGTAATATCAATCGACGTCTTTCTTATCCCTGTCCTTCTCTATATCCTTTCTTCAAACACCTCCTCTTTACTCTTTGTTTTCACTCTCCGTAACCCCCCTTGTAGGTTTATATATTGGATCAGATTTCCTACATTTTTCAACGGATTTCAATAAAACTTCACAGGACTACGTAAAATTAACTTGCGGTGGTTCTGACAGTGCCAAAAATTGGAAAAACACAATTGTTTTTGCACGAAATCAATTTGAAAACACGATTCTGTTGCCAGAATGAAAGGGGACAACTCATATCGAGTTATACTGATAAAAACACAGGTTGTTTGTGTATGTGTGTGTTCGTTTATATATGGGATCGGATTTCCTACATTTCTCAACCGATTTCAACAAAACTTTTTTTTGGCAGGTAGTGTTTCATATTGTCTTGCACACTTTTTTCTTTATTTTTACATTCAGAATGCTTTAAAAAATTCCATTTACAAGACAATTGTTTCTAATTAAATTCTATTCAATCGGTAGACTCATAACGATTGAAAACAATGTTTTTGTTTGAGTTTGGGTTTGACCAATTCGTAAAAAAAAACAAAAAAAAACAAACAAAAAAAATAATTAAGACATGAGTGTCCGTCAACCTTAAACAATAATCTTTGTCAATTTTTATTTTTCAGTTTTTATGATGGACGATACTTGATCTATCTCTTACTGTTACATCCCCGGGCAACTTCGGGCTCTACTGCCAGTAATAAATAAAAAACAAATTTCTGCTGAACTGAAAAATAGTAAATGGAATATTTTATACTTCTAATTTCGTAAAAACTTAAAACATCTATTTGTTAGAGAAAAATAGCTGGAAACCTTAAAATGAATACATAAAAAATTTATTTCAAAATTACTTTTTACTACACATTTTTTTTTTGTGAAAAGACACAAACTATTTCTAATAATGGATAATTCCCATCATTCATTCCTCCAAGTACTGGTCAGACTAAACCCTGATTCAGTCCGATGGTCAAACGAAAACCGGTTCTTGGAATGTAATTTGACCGTAAACTTTATAATCTGCTTGAGATCAAACCAAACTCAAAAGTTGGTGACATGAAAGAACGAAGTAAGCACTCAAGCTTATGAATGAAGGAAAATGTAGTTATGATGTGAGGCCGCACATAAATAAAAATCAGGAAAAAATTGAAAGAAAATGAAGAAGAAAAGTAAAGAAAAAAAAAGAAAGCAGAAAATAAAAAAAAGAAAAAATAAAGAAAATTTGCCTGAAAATGATGAATAGGAAGGGAAAAGAAAGAAAAGAAAATGGGAAAGACAAAAGCAAGCAAGAAAGAAAGAAAGAAAGAAAGAAAGAAAAATAAAGAAAGAAAGAAAACATTTGAAAAGTGATGAGGAAATAAAAAAAATAAAAATAAAATTCCTAAGGGAAAGAAAGTAAGGAAATAAAAAAAAACAGAAAAAGAAACAAAGAAATCAAATGAAAAAAGGAAAAATTTTGAAAAAATGAAGAAAATGAGAAAAAATAAAAAAATATATAGGAAAGAAGATTTTCTTGAAAAATGATGAGGATAAAGGGAAAAAAATGAAAAAAAAAGAAATAAAGGAAAAAAGAAAGTGAAAGTAAAAAAGCAAGATTTTGAAAACTGTTAAGGAACTATAAAAAATAAAAGAACGTTGCAAAATAGAAAGAAAGAAAGCAAGAAAGCAAGAAAAACGTAGGAAAAGACCAAGAGATAAACAAAAAAAAAAAAAATTAAAAGTTATTCCTCTTGATACTCACCCCAAACGTCATCTTTGGTTCGAGCCAAATTGCATATGGAACCAAAATTTTTCTCTGATGGATCCTGATGTTCATTTTAAATATATTTATTCGTATTTTGAAAAAGAAATCGCAAGTAACAAAAGGAATTATAATATCGATAAATCTGCAAATACATGTTATGTCTTGATACTAGCATTTGTGATGCTGGTTTCGACAGTTGTGAGGATCAGTCAAATCCAATTAGTGAAAATACGAAAATGCATGTACAATAGCGTGGATGATCAATCTGCGCATGCGCACAAGAAGTTAAAAGCCATTACATCGTTTACAGTATGTTCTCTTTTCAGAGTGACATTCTAATTGTTTTGGATAAAGCATGAAAGCGCATCAGGGCATTTGCTAGTTGTCTCTAGATTTTATTCTTTCTTCCCTCGACCCCATTGTTTTCAGACATTTTCTTAATTCTTTCTCCTTGGTCGATATTTTTTCCTTCAGCAAATTCTTTGCCTCACTTTTTTAGTTCTTATCAAATAATATGAAAGCTAGTTTATCGATTTACTTCTCACTATTTGTAATTTGAATTCTTTGTTTTTTTTTTTTTTTTTTTTTTTTTGGTTTATTTAGCCATTTTCTTTCTTCCTGCTTTATTTCTTCTGTCTTCTTTTTTTATTTTTCATATTCTTTATCATTATTTTCTTCTTCTCTATTATTTATTTTGTCACATTTCCCTCTTTATCACGGCCACCGTCTTTTTTCTTCATTAATAAATTCTTTCTTTCTTTCTTCCTTCCTTTCTTTCTTCCTTTCTTTCTTTCTTTCCCTTGAATTTTGCCATCATTGTTACAATTTAATTATTTTCCTGTCTTTTCTTTATTCACACATTAAGGCGTTCTAACTTTTTACGTTTTTTTAATCCTTCATTTATTTTTTTCTACAGTTATTTGTAATTCTACTGTCTTCTTTCATAATTACTTTTGACACTATTTTCTTCATTCTCCCTTTTTTCCTTTCTTTTATCTTTCTCCTTGCCATTATTTACCTTCTTTCTTTCTTTCTTTCTTATGATAAATTTTTCACCTTTTTCTTTCTTTTCATATTTATTTACATTCATTTTTTCATTTTTTTTATTTTTTTCACCATTATTCATCGCGTTTCTTCCTCTTTTCATTATTATTCTCCCTGTCTTTTTTCTTTCTTTGTTCGTTTCTTTTTCCTATCGTTTCTTTCTTTTTGTCTTCCTTTCTGCTCGAAATTGTTCGCCATTTTTCTTTATTCGTTTTTTCTTTCTTTTCACATTTATATGCTTTTCTTTTTCATTTATTATTATTTTTTCACCATTCAGCGCCTTTCTTTCTTCACTTATTCATTATTCTCCATGATTGTTGCTTTTCTTTCGTTCCTTGTTTCTTTATTCCTTACTTTATTTCAATCTTTCCTTCGATATTTTTCTTTATTTGTTTTTGTCGTTATATTTACCGGTCATCGCCTGTCTTTCTTCAGTTCTTTATATTTCTCCCTGTCTAGATTCTTTCTTTATTCCTTCCTTCCTCCCTTTCTTTCTTTCTCGCGTTTTGTTATCTTTGTTAATGTTACTTTTTTCTCCTGTCACTTTTCCAGTTTATTTTATTTATTCACTAATTAATACTTTCTTTCTTTTTTACAACTCTTCACCATTATTTCTTTCATTTCACTCATCAATCTTCATTCAAAAATTTTTGCTTAACTTTTAAACTCTCTAATTTTTCAAATTCTTTTCTTTCATTCATTTTATTTTTCTCCTCGTTTTCTTTCCATCTTTCACGTTCTTTCTTTCTTTTTATAATTATATTCCATCGTTTTAAATTAAATTTTCTTTTTTTTTTCATTAATTTTCTCCATACCTTTCATTCTGTATTCTTTCTTTCTTTCTTTCTTTCTTCGTTCGTTCGTTCAGTAAAACAAAGGATATGGTTCAAGTGGCATTTTATCAATATTAATAAAATTCGTTTTTTGCAGCATTTCATTCGATCTCCAAAATTGGTTATATTTTACAAATTTTCACACGCATATAGGAAGGCACAAGCATATAAATAATATATATATATATATATATGTATACATTGAAGGATGTATAAACAGAGCATTTACTTAAATATTTGTATCTATAAAAGAATGTATAAACATAAAAATGTCTTAAGATAATTGTCGAACTTTGTCCATTTCATACTGTGTGACGTCATTTATTTACATTTGGATACGCATTGAGCAGATATGAATGTACGTGAGAGATTCATGGAAGATTGTAGTTTAAAAGCAGTAAAATCGACCTTGCCAACTAAACGATCGTCTGCGGCTCAATCGGTTAAGATATATCCGGCTATATGACGGTTCCGTATAGGATACAGGTTCGATTCCTTTTGGAGGACAAATATTTTTCTATGAAAATTTCTCGGGCATTCAGGCCGATAAATGTTATTAATAGTGTTTATTATAAACAGAGCATTTACTTAAATATTTGCAGATATAAAATGAATGTATAAACATAAAAATATCATAAAATAATTGCCGCCTTTGTCGATCGTGTTTAGAACAAGAATCCTCAAAAAGCACTGGACAGTGCGTTTCTAGGCACACACCCCCATTGCACTTTCATGCTTGGTCTGTCCGTTTGGGAATACCATGTACTGTGAACTTGGATGTGTGGTAGGTGTAATCGATAATGATTCTGAATTGTAAACAGAGAGCCGCATTCAATTCCTAATCGGGTTCGTTGTATTCACTTACACGTAAATACGCTTGGGAAAGGCACATATCCATATTTATTGCCTGTCAGTAAAATAATTAGTATCTTAAAAAACTTCTTACAATCAAAATACATTTTGGGGTTTAAATTATCTGAAAAGGGTTGATAAACCGTGTAAAGCAAATCAATAAAATCAAATTAGACACACTCACACCCATATATATATATATATATATATATATATATATATATATATATATATATATGTAGAGGAACCAATAGAACTGTCAAATGACCAAGGGAATTCAGAGCAGAATGAATCCATCCAGCCCTTATCTTAAATAACAACTTAAAAGAGACTGTCACACAAGGACTAACCAAATTTCATGATTAAAAAAACCCCAAAAAACAAATGAAAACTACAGAAAAAAGTTCATTTTCTCCATCAATTCATTTATTTTAGTAGTTCACTGCTACTAACAAGCAGAACTTTTTTTTCTCCTGATGATGGCCATGTTGGCCGAAACTAGTCGAGGAATCTGATTGAAATAATAAAAACGAAAAATATTAATATACAACACAGTGTGTCTGAAGATTTTAATTTTTTAATATTTTTATTGTTCAAAAGACACACACACACACACACACACACACACACACATATATATATATATTCAAGCATGTTTCATTAATTAATATAGACATATTATGTCTATTTATTTTTATAATAATCCTTTCAAGTTCTCTAATTATAATCTTGAGGTTAAGTTGAAATTCATCAAGGAAGACGCCGGAGTTTTATTAATCCAAGAACTTTTGATTTCCTCCAAGATCATCCTCGGGGATGAATTGCGAAGACAAACTTAATCTAACTGTAATCGTTGTGATAGATATTTTGCCGTTGCCATATAATAATTATTTTAAATTTAACCGTTGTGGTTAATATGTTTTGTTAACAAGCGTTCTCAATCCAAGTATTCCGAATTCAAAAGTCAACAGTGTCTTTCCAGAATGCTTATTGACTCTGCGTAGGATCAAAGTGTAGTTGCTGCAAGATGACATTTTGTGTTCTAATTTCAAACATTCATTTGTTTGAGTTTATGAAAGAGGCAGTCAAATGATTGCAGTTTCACAAAAATAGGGGACTGGAATAAACAAACGCTTATTTTCGATATGAACATTATTGAAATACGTATTTACTGGTATTTTTTTTTAACTTTATCACCTGCCATCTCGAGGAAACCTGTTTATTTCGTCCTCACAGTTTTCTGAAGAAAAAAAAAAATTCTTGCTGCATTTTTTAGTCTTCCAGAGAAATTCATTTTTTTCCTTTCGCTAAGATTCTTATGCAAAGGCCAAAACAAACATTAATCTACATTTCCAATAACTGATGAATATGGCGGATGGGTAAGAAACTAGATAAGAAGCGACGGAGATTCAGGTATACAAATAACAAAACTCATGTTATTTCCTACAAAAATGAAATTGCCAATTTTTGTGTAAAATATAGGCTCCAGACAAAGAGAAAATTGGATTTTCAAATTTATACTCATTGACTAATGAGGGCCCTGGAAAACAGGACGTTACATTTTGCGTCTATTGCAGACAATCTATTTTAGAATAATTGAAAGATCAAATCATTGCAAATGTTAACAGCGTTTCCATTTTGAATTATTTATTAGAAAACCAACAAAATATATTTTTCAAACAAATTAAACTTAGAGAATTAATTCTAAATTTTTCGGCTCCATTTTGAGCCGATTATTTTTTTTTTAAATTTCGATAACTAATCTTAATTATAAACTCTCATTATCATAGGTTTCGTAAATTACCGATTACTCGGTTTTGGGTCTGTCAAATTCGGAATAGTATTTTCTTTATTATTTCACACCAAGCAAGGTAATAATGCCACTAAGACGCAAGGGGTTACTGAGTGTGAAAGAATATGAGTGAAAGAAAACATTGAGAAGGAGAGAAAAATTAAAGGAACTGGAATTGAGAAGACAGAAGATATTGATCGACATTGCCTTTAAATTTTTGAAGATCAATGTTGACTGGAACTCAGGCAGCTAGAAGAGACTTCCACAAGCGAAAAATGCGAGAGAAGAAACGCATAATATAGAACATCCAGCCATTCCGACAGCAAAATTAATTGCTGATCTATTATTGTGCTTGAATTCTTAAAGTCTACGTACCAAAGAGGAAAACTAACCAGAACTATTATTATGAAAATATTTATACAAAAGTCACTAGGAAGCTACGATACGACGATGTGTAATGTGTACGCGGAAGTGCATGAAGACCAGGTGCCAGGTTAGGACTGAAAAATTGAGGATTCTTCTTTGGATTTTATCAAAAATCTCTAAATACTTAGCAGAAGCACCAGACCAGATGTGACAGGAATATTCAATGTATGGAATATTTTGAAATATATTATTCCCTTCCATATTATTATCTACATGCTTTTATAATTATTGCTAAACTTGCATTATCGGTAGTCGAAACATATTTTTTACTGTATTACGGCTACTACTGCTGCTGATACACAAACATACATGCTTTGAAAGTAAACATAATCTTGCGTGTCAAAATTCAAGTATTTTTGTTACTCATGTTCATCCTATACAAAGCCCAGGGCCTCTCAAGTTAGAACGTTATTGACGGCGGTTGTTATGTGAGCGGATATGAGCAAGGAGTGTGCTTTATACGGATAGGTGGTGAAGTTAACGGTTAATCCTACACTTGAACAGGTTAAGATTGTAGTGATCCGGGAAACATTATCATATGAGTCGGTTCTGCAGAGAAGAAACTGAGAAAGTGGATCTTACTTTTCACAAATGTAATACAGAAGAAATGAAGGTGATTTGCTACAATGTGTGTTGCATGGTGGGTCCTAGTCATGAAGGTTAGAAATAGCAAAACCAAGGAATGCTATCCATCCGAGCACTTTCCATGGAAGTAACGATAGAGGTTGGAAAATAATTTGTCACCCAAAAGGATTCGGAGACGATTTTGGACTCTATCAAAATTGGAAAGTGAGGACTGAGAATCTCCTGTCCAAATATGACAAAAATACCTCATTTTAGATCTGATCTGGTTCTTGTAAAGGTAGAAGATAGCATAAAGAGTAAGGTATTACTGTCGAGGTACAGGGAGCCAACGATTTTACCTGCATTTTTAGCAATGGATTGTATGTACCTAGGTATAGGGTTACAGATTAAAACGCACAGTTTATGCGAAGTGAGAGGGAAGATAATGGTTAACCCTAGACTTGAACCGGTTAAGATTCTAGTGATCGAGGAAGCATCTTCTTGGAAGTTACTTCCATAGAGCAGTGGTTTGTGAGAAAAAGCTGCTCATGTGGAGCTTACTTCTCACTAATGGAATATGGCGGGAATAAGGGTGATTCTCTCTAATGGGCGTGGCATGGTGGGGTCCAACCCATGACAGTTAGAACAGGTGAAACTGAGGAATGTAGTTCATCTGAACATTTTCCATGGAAGTAGAGATAGAGAAGTGAGAGGTTTGCAATATCCTGTCCATGTGAGAAATGTTTCAGGGTAGAAAATAATTTTTACCCACAAGGATGCGGAGACGCTTTTGAACTCTATCGAAACAGGAAAGTGAGGACTGAGCAGTTCCTGGCCAAATAAGACAATAATACCTCATTTTAGGTCTGATCTGGTTCTTGTAAAGCTAGAGGATAGCACGAGGAGGCAGGTACTGATTAAACATTTTCCCGTGTATTTAGCGATGTCTCATGTGTACGAGTTCCTCTTGATGTCTGTGGTGAGTTTAAAGCCCAATCGTCGCTCAAGGCATAGAGCTTCCCCGAGGGGACATCAATTTGTCGTAAGTAGTTGTTCGGGTTCCGACTGCGATGAAGTTTGGTTTACGAAACATTAAATGTAACCAGTTAG